GTAGTATTTTTCATTGCGTACAGAGTGATGGCTGTCTTGAAAAAAACTATCGTTTACATTGCTCTGATTTTTGAAACCGGCCCGTTAAATTATAAATGAAAAAGTTACGTTTCTGAGTTATTTAACGATGAAATCAGCCGGACGTCTGAGAAAGATGCGTTCATCCACTTACATATTATTTCACAATGCATATTACACGGAGACAACATTCAAATCTACAAATCAAGGAACAATGGTGATTTGTATATCAATCTCAGACGCGTGTTTCATCTTATTTAGGACTTATCATTTACTGAAAACCAGCAGTATTCATTTCCATTTACATTCGGTTATCCACTTATCCAGTCAGTCCATAAACTCAATGACTTGTGAAACTGCTTGAAGCTTTAAATCATTTTTGAATTGCTATTGGATATTCCGATTGATGTTAAGTAACCGTATTTGATTCCATTGCTATTCCTCATCCATCTTTACGCACAATGCTTGTGACTTCTAGCAACATCCAGATAATCCTAACAGAGTGCATATATATGAATAAGGGACTGATCAGTTGCAGTACAAATCACTCATGTGAGGACTGGACCAAAGAATGTAAAATGATAATTATTTTCATTGTTTAAATGACTCAACAATGTACTTAAACCTGTCAATGCAGAACATCTGGCGGAACATTTGACGAACTTTCCCATATTCAATCATAAACAATTTATCTCACCTAATCACGTACACTCAAAATTCCTCTTCAAACTCAGCTTCATCTCTCAACAACACATGTTTATTTCAGTGAAGCAAGACGATTGAACATTTCGTAGATGAAATATCATTTTCAAACTAGCACTGCTTTATTTCTGCTTCATACAAAACACACTTTCTTTTACATTGAGTGTTGAGATGATCAAAGACTGCAAGTTTGATTGTATTACTGTGAGTGTGTGAATACATGAGTGGATATATTTTGAGTTTGATATAGTTATTCATATATCCATATCTGGGTGAGTCTACCGGTAATCCTAACTGTAAGAAGTTCTCAAAATATTTGGACAGTGTGTTTACGAAAATCATTCCAATTCCATTCTGCACAATGAGCCACAACACTTAAATGACATTTCCACGAACTGACTTTACGTAAGAAGCAACTGAATAATAATCACTGTTTGAAAGCTCTCTCTGATAAGATACATGGATTTTGTTCATTAACATGCTCATGACCTGGTACAAGTAGAGAGTAATATAAAACTAACTGGTGATTAATGATGTACGTCACCGTACATCAAAGAGTTAACGAGATTCGGCCTGCTTAAACATTTAGGTTACCTGTTTCCGTCATCTAGATACTTCAAAATGTTATCTAAATTTGTTTGTTTTAATACATCATTATGCCTAGTAATCGCACAACCTATTCAGGTGCATTTCTGAAAAGATTAAGACCTTTCTCTGTAACGGTTGCAGAAGGCAATATGCAGCGAGATGAATGTACATTATCCAGATGTTGATTGACTGAGTTGCAAACTTCTAAGTGGCGATCACTAAATATTTATCGTCAGGAAGGACGAAGAAGTAAGAAACGGAAACTCGCTGAAGTACATTGTGCTGAGAATTCTATATTGTACCAAAAACATAATATTGAATAAAGCTAATAATAATAGTAATAGTTGGATGAAATATTTCTTACCATCTTCACAATTTATTAGTCCAAGGATTTTCGATTGCAACTGACTTTCCTCGATTTTCGTAGGAATCTGAAAAAAGATTGTTGAATGTATAAGACAAGATCTGCTACCACACAATCGTTTATATGAAATCGAATGATTACTGGAGAAATGTATCATCATTTAGATCATCTCGTTAAAAGCCAACTAATCGCACTCACACTAGGCATACTGATATTCTCAGTTTACTTTCCATGAATGTTCCATCCAATCTGTATAGATATTCTTGTCAAATTCGGTCAAGTGTTATGAACTATCTCTCCATCATGATATGTGGCGATAACTTGTGAGATGAATATCACCGCCTATTGAAATGAAATGAGATTGTGAATATTTGACAGGATGCTGCACTCAGGATATTCCACAGTGAACATTCTGAACAGTCGATCGTCACTACATGTAATAAAACTCAACAGAATATGACTCTTTCCGTATAGTAGGCAAACATTCACAGCCAGTTACTATTTGGCACGAACAGGTTATTGTTTCTTGTGAAAGAACTTTACTTCTGATTATTCACTGTTCATACTGTAGTGAACAGAACACTAGTTGGGTACAATCGAATGCATTTAAGCGAAGATTACGGACTATCTCAATAAATTTTGATTACCAAACAATGAACAGTCAATTTGCAAATTAACAACCAATTGTTTCAATCTTCACTGTTTCTTCTCTTATTCCATTGCTCATGCATTTTCCAGACGTATGCGTTTCATTTCAGTTCTTTCCTCATCGGTCTTCTGCCAAAATACATTCTATGTCTGACCTACACCATATACTACTTATATGAATATAAGTAGACCACACCATAATACCACTTGCTTGATTAGCGTCACTAGAGGATTGATAATAGTGTCAACTAGTCCGCTTGCCTATTACACAATGTTGATCTCTTTCTATCGTGTTCAGTGTAACTAGATTCATTTGACAATATTGATCAACATGAAATAGTAGAATGTTGTGAATTACGTGAAACAATATCACATTTTCACTAAATTATGCAACTCACGTTATCATAATAGAATGATACCTTCCCATTTGGGTGTATTAACCTCGTCATTGTGGCTGTAACCTCTACAGTAAGAAGAATATTGATAGTCAGGGATGTAATAGCATTCGTACAATATCCTAAATAATTCAATTTGAAACAATGGACACTGAGTACGCATGACATGATCTTAGGAGTGTTTGTCTACATATTGAACTTGAGAAATAAATTGGTGGTATATATATAAAGATTTCTATTGGTTAACTGATTCTGACTTCAGTGTCCATTTGTTGTAGATGAGAAACAAATAGCTTTAGATAACAATTTCTCAGTTTGCAACGTCAATATTTGGGAATGACTATGCGATGAAAGGATGTGTAGATGAATATAATGTGTGCAGCAATGGCTTTGTCACCAATGTAGAACACAATTCATTTATTTTGGAACACAGACTGTTTATCAAGTTTCCCTTAACCCTGAAATGATAATAAATCTCTGCATTCATTTTCCAACAAGTAGAGTGAGATTGTGACTTCAATTATCCATGATGATTTATTTATTGCTTGTCAAATCCAGTCATTCACAGTTCATTTCAACTGTTCCAAATGTTTCAATGGATGTACTCAATTAGTGAGTGAATTTCACATTCAATTCTACCTTCGTTTGCCAGAATAGAAGCACCTTCATTCTTTTGTTAGTATTTTGAAAGGTTGGATTTTTTTTTAATGAACAGGCAAAGTGTGAGCAATCACAGATAGTGAAGATGTAAGTGTGAAAGTTCCACGTGTGTGATCGAACGATCGATCAATGTTTACTCACCTGCACCATTAACGCTTATCGAAGAATTCCTTTGGACTCCTAATAATTCCTCTGAAATAATGAAAACCAAAAAGGATGTTTATATATCTGAATAATGATTATCTATCTCTTTCAATCAATATACTTTTTAACACGGACTGCCGACTTATACAAGTTGTCATCTCCATTTACAGGTTTAAATGAACCGGAGTAGTTAAATGCTAAATCATCTCTCATGAGAAAAGTCCAAAGAATATTATCAATTCAACAACATGATAAACGTTTCAACACAATCAACTGAGAAGAATATTTCACTTCTTTAAAATTTCTTCTAAAAACTTCTGAATGAATAATAGACGTTTAATAGGTATTCGACAACACAACAACAAAGTGTATTTTGGATCCCGTTATTCATCAATTCGTACGTTGGACCGAAATAAATGAATGTCACATTGATGTTTTAAGTGTTCCGGTATGAGTAAATCATCTTGTACTAGCGGACTGTTCTAGCACAATAATTAGTCAGCTGTTTCACGAAGTGCATGGAATCAGAATACAAAATCATACAAATACGATCACAAAAATAGTCTTGAATAACCGAATAATAACACACAGCACCTCCGAGACATTAAACATTCAAGAATCAAGTAAGTGCTATAAAAGGTCTAGTGGACTTCAAATATAACTTGATAATTCATAGGCTTCAATAATCCAAACCGCCTTCTCTTACAACATAGCTTACTATTGCACAAGTGATCACTTTTATTCACTCAGTATCGTGTAGATGCGATATCTTCTGTTTTGTAGATTTCATAAACTGGAGGGTTGGTAATTTTTACACTTTCGCAATTATATCACATGGTTTATCATTTCTATTAGATGAAGGTGTATATTTTCAGGTAGATCTCTGTTTAATTTACCAATTTCACTTTACAGCATTCAGCACCTGCTTCGATACACACACGTTCTGTTGCAAAAACAACACAAACACAACAATCACTTTCTATTGGTTACCACTTCTGTAATCATCAAGATGAATAGTGAATCTTTTATACAAAATAAGTGTGAGAAAAGTGATCAAAACAAAGAATAACTGAATAATATAAGAACTCACTCTCATCCAAAAACCAAGATTCAGACTCCGTATAGTTTTTTATGAAATTAAAAATACTTCCAATGTGTAACTTGTCAAATTCATCAACACTATCTCCAGATTTAAGTACATAATCTTCTTCATCTATTGAATGAAAACATGCAACATCATTGATAAATTTGTAATGAATGAATAAACAAGTTTAAATAATAAAACTGAACTGTAGTTGGTTTGCTATAAAGAGTCAAACCATGTTGAACAATGAAGAAAAATTATTGAAAGAAGTTTTGCATGTTACAAGGAGCACAAAACTGATTCACTGAAGAAAATAGAATCAACTTTGACTCATTAACAGAAAATGGATCAAGAAAACTCAATAATAATTTGACTTCCAAGAAAATTTATGACTTACGATGTTCGTGAAAATAAATTTCTTTTACGTGATAACCGTAAAAACTAAACGAGAATTGAGGACTACGGTCCTAAAATGTTGCAAACATATGGAAAAATATTTTTATTATAAAGTGTATTCAACTCACGCTTCTGCCAAATATCTCATTATTAAAACGTTCACTCGGAACTGGTTGAGGTTGATTATGTTGAATCCTCATTGAATACTTATAATGAAGAGACTGAAATATGTCTATTAGAATGTATCTGATTACTTACATAACGATAGGAATCACTTTCAATAATGACATTCTCATAGTTGAGCAAATCAGGGTTTTTGCAGATGTCGTTGCAGTTGAAACGTTTGTAAGGCCAAAGGAAGATAAGATAAATTAGTATCCATAGACTAGGCGAAAAGTTATATCTAAAATGATCACGATGAACAGATCAACGGTATATCATGGAGTCGAATTTCAATTTGAGTTCGTATGTTCATTCAACACTTACCTCATCTTATCGTGTCAAGTTATAATTCAAATTCTTATAGAATTTGTCGGGTTTATATAGACTTTTGAAGTGTAAAGTTGTTCTCTTCTGATTCGATGATTCAAAGTAACCATTAGAAAGATCGAATTTAATAACATCAGATGTTCATTATAAACCAACCATAGAGGTATATGACATCATCGTAAACAAATATTCTTCTGGCCGTTGAGATTATGAGCTGAACTTTATTCACTGTTGGTTGAAATTCCTGACACCTGTGGATAAAACTTCTCTTCCATGTGATAGACGATATTCTGAAATGGGTGATTGGTTAAATTATAGTTCAAAACATGTGCTCATAAGTTTACGAACAAACAGTTTGTTGTCTGTAATAATGTATTGATTATTCGTCAACGATGAGTTGATTTGATTTGATTGGGTACAATCAAAGTAGCACAAATTAATTTGATTGGATGCTAAAAATACTCTATTACACATGGATTTTGTTCTAATGAGCACATTTTGTTAAACGATTTCACCGTCGTGTTTTTAAAATAAAATTGTAACTTCTGAACAATGTCACATCCATTCTATTTGTATGCCACATTATAACACTGACTGTCAATAGATGTCTAGATCAATAAGGATAATGATTTCCCTATTGAGTACATTGAAATAGAATCAATTGTGCTCAATTTCATAGATTCAGTTCTCAAATCATTGTAATAAGAGGAATATAATACATTCCGCCGAAAGTGAACTGTTGAAAATGTAGAACGATTTCTTATACCAGACACATTCGAAACTATAACATTGATCATTGTATCTGAAAGCTAACATGATTGTCAATACTCAAATAGAAGACTGATTTTCATCTGTGTATTTCAATGATCTATTCCCTCACATCAGTTGAGCTTGTATTTCATATCGTCTGTGTTCAAATATAGAAGAAAATCACAGTGATAAGATAATGTCAAGTGTATACTTAACTTACACTAAACACTGAATACTGACGAATGAGTAAAACTCTATACATTCATAACTGAATAATAATTTTGATGAAATAAGTCAGGAATGTTTGTTTTTGCGTGATATTTAAAAATAGTTTCCCTCCTGACAAAGTAGAGGTGTGTTGTTTTAGTTTACACAGATATGAACAGTAATCAAAATGTTGTTACCTTGACAATCACTGTTTGTCGTCGAATAACAAGACTGTTTGGGTAATTTCGTGAATTCATCAACATCAAAATTGTTTTCAGTGGTGCATTGTCAATTCAATGCCATTGACCAATATCTAATTACTAAAGGAAAAGTTATCTGCGCACGTGATAGTGTAAATCAGTTAATCATATTTTGATTTCAAAATCTTCTTACAAACTTTATGTGTGATCAGACTGTTAGGAACCTATTATCTCAATGATTATTTCCATAAGTAATTATCATTGATCTAATGACATTGGCAGTATAGTGAATTATTTGAAGGACTTAACGAAATTAGGCAAGTGGATGTGAGGTTCTGTACTTTATACTAAGATGTTCGTTATACTTTCCTTGGTTAGCTGATATCGTTCAGCTTCATAGTTTGTTCCAACTGTTTGAATGAAATAATCGGAATAATGCTGAGATATCTAGACAATGACACGTTAGGTGTTTACTTATCATATAATTGACACACGCAGAAACATACACACTCTAATTAACACTCAACCCCTTCTTACTTCAAATGCAACGATTGAGAATTTCATATGCTCATACAATCACAGAGAATGATGTGATGATGACGCTTGCCGAAAAATGTCGATATAAAAGACATGACACTGACATGATCAGACTTCAATTGAATTACGTTTTCAACCTTGGTAACTCGTAGCACTCAGAGATGTAGCTAATATAGTATGAACATTGAGAGGACATTTCATTTCATTATTATTAGGCTTCATTTCGATTAACTGAATATTGAATAATGATTGGAGTTATTTATTGTGGTTAGGTGGACGCCATCAGATTTTAAGGGAGGTCGAACCCATTTTAAATCATCCTCTGATGTTCAAATTCGTATTGATTTTGCAACAGAATTGAAATGGATTTCCGCGTCACTAAGCATTCGTGCATGAATATTTATTTAGCTAGCCAACTATGCCTGTCTCAATAATTTCGAATTCAATTATTAATTTGATATTATTGAGAAGATATTTTGATTGAGTTAGAGTATTTTCGTTGCCTGGATTCTGTTGGCATATAATCGGTGAAGCGAGGTTTCATGGTGGTGGGTACAAGTGAGTGTAGTGCAGACTCACTACGGAAAAAACCAATACACCTCGTGTGATTCAAAGTCATTTCACTCCTACTTGCAATATCAGCATTAACTACTTCGCCACACGAACCGTAGATGACCTCTTGAAGGACAGATATGTTCATGTTTATTGATTAAAGCGCACATATAGATGTCATGTCTGTCTAGTAATTGAGTTCACATTGAACACTGTGCAATATTTACTCCCATATAATAGCATTACGCACAAACATGCACACTAATAATCAAACTCCAATCCTTCTGATCACAAATGCAACATTTAACTGACAAACCAGCACAGACAATCACACAGTATGAACTGATGAAGACTCGCACAGAATATTGATGTGTGATATCAGTTCAATAATGGTTATCAATGATTGTTCATTCTGTTGCTTGTTTGTATTTCGTATTCTCTATTTCGATTCACTGAACAATCATCTTTTACATCTAAAAATCATTAGACATCAAGAAGAGGGTGACAGTATATTGAAAGTATATTTGAAGTGATTGAGAAACAATCTCTGTTCAACAGAAACATATTATGCTCGATGAACAATATATGTTTTTCAGAAAAGAAAGCCCGCCTCTTTCGTCCTCACGAAACTGTCCACACTGAGTAAAGTTACTTGACGATTAAGTCACCAATATGTGTTTCAATATCACGTATAATCATCATAAATACTATTTGGCATCTTTCAATCTAATATACGTTGCCACATAAGAAACTATTTTTCTAAAAGTAAAACTAATGATAAGAATACTTTCTATGATGTGATAGTGTGATCTGTCTGTTAACCTTGACCGTTGTTTTTGTTGTTTATCAACTATCATTCATTCTGATTCCGCGTTGTTTATCACCAGATTTCATCTATGATATGACATCTTTTTTATTATTACTATTATTATTAATGACTTTATTCAAAACTATAATCTGGTACAATATAGAATTCTCAGCATGAGTTGAAAATAAAGACGGCCTGCTTGAATACCTGAGCTACCTGTTTCTGCCATCTAAATATTCCAACAAGTTATCTAGGTTTTTTTAAATTGTTTTAACTTATCGTTATGTTTATTAATCGCATAACCTATACAGGCGCGTTTATGAAAAGCTCACGTTGTAACGGTAATAAAAATCTTTACATGCAACATTAATAATGTGAGTTTGTATTTCTCATTGCAGGGCAACAAAGAGTGAATGCACTGGAAGAAGAAGATGAACAAGCCCTACGCGGTCTGAACCTGCAGAATAACGAGTAAAACTACTTTGTAATAACTTTCCACTTTTGTACTAAAAACCGCGTTTTTCAATTTCAAATATATCTGCTGCACCAGTACACCGTGTTCTCACTTCAGAGCACTTGTCTGTCCTGACTGTTGTGTTGCTGTTTCAGGTCGCTCCTTCTCCCAAGTAAACGTCAAAATATAACGTGCTACAACGTCCTTTCGCTGCACAAATCACAAAAAGTACAATAAGTGACATCGTGGTGGTTGGAAATATGCATTAAAGAGAATGAACATTAATCAAATGTCGATTCCTGAGCTGCGTAATTCTAACTGTCAATCTCTAATTAACAAGGTGGACTATCTCCAATTTCTGCTAAGTCAAAACATGTATCGTAGTTTTGGTGTCATCACAATTCAAGAATCTTGGTTAACTAACTAACAGGATGATTGCTTACTATTATTACGTGACTTTAATATCTATCGTCAGGATCGATCAAACAACAAAAAGACCTGTGGTGGCGGAGTAGCTACGTTTGTAAACGTCGATCTACTTTTGCCTGTTTTAAGTTTTCAAATGACTTTATTGACTGTCTGAGTTTAGGGTGCCGTTGAAAACACCGGAATAAATACAAATATATTTATGTTACCAATATCTACATGACTCCAGACGGCACATCATCTGCGCTATCTGTCTTCGCTGATAAATTTACTGAATTCGCCGTTACTGCCTTCAATGATTCACTTTTTGATTGTATGTGGTGATTTCAATTCATGTGACTGTAGCTTCCTTACATCACTGGGTCACCTAAATGTAGTAGATTTTCCTACTCGTTTGAATGATCATCTAGACTTGGTTTTCATTAATGATGTGGGTACCTATGTGACTCGCAAACGTGCTCCATTGCCTAGCTCGGATCACTGTATAATTCGTGTTCTACCTAAAGTATATGATAAACACGGAAAGAGTACACACATACACCATACCAAAAAAGTAATATATAGGAATTACTCAGAAGAAAATTTACAAAATCTAAAAAACATGTTTCGTACGACCAACTGGGAATTATTTACAGATGACTCAATAGAAAACACAACGGATGTTATAACCTCTTATCTTAAATTCCGTTTTGATATTTGTTTTCCTACCGAAACCTACTTTTTAAGTTTTGATCGATTTACATCTCCACAACTAAAACGGCTACGGAGGGTAAAATAAAGGATGTACAAGGAGAAAAA